TTTAATATTGGAGATTAAAGTAGCACATGAGAATCACTAAATTTATTGAATGGGGCCTATATTTTGAGACAAATGTCTTCTTAAGGATTTTCATGGTTAATGATTTTCAACAGTTTTTCAATAATGGAAGAATAGTATTTGGGGTAAAAAGCGTCCCTGTTGTTGGGTCTAAAGGCTCAATAATTAACATGATAATTAATAAATGGTTGACTTTTCCGTTTGTGGACATGACATGATCAGATTCAGATAAATATCATATATTATGTTGGCTGTCCATCTTAATCATAATGTTTAGAATGAAACCATCATATTTAAAAACATGATATATTAATCATATCATATCAGAAAATATAAGTTGTTGTTACTACTGTAAATCTATATTAAATTATTATGGGATCTCCTTCAATGCTTTCGAATCTTTACTTTTTAAAATGATTTTGTTTCTATATTTTAAAATATATTTTATATTAACATATTTTAATGAACGTATATTTATTGAACAAAACATATATATCAACATATGCAGAAAATAGTACAAAGTTTGCTAAAATTATTGTTTTGAATGAGTACTAACTTACACATTATTTATATATATGTATATATATATATATATCTAAAGTATTTGTAACAATACTGTGTACCTTTTGCATACATACACCTCACACATTTATAAGATTTTTAAACAAAATAAACCACTTATATGATTTATTTTCACACAAATTGTGTTGCTCCATAGATGTCATATAGATGTTCAATACAAACGTATATATTTTTTATTCAATCATATATTATGGGCGCAGTGAAAAGCAAATTTTTTTCTTAAGGTGTCCCTTTAGCCCCGTTGTGTAAGTAGTATACTTGTATGTGAATTTTTGGTAATAAATTGGTCGACTCTTTAGTTTATAAAGTGTACTTTTAGGTGAACCACTCCTGACAAAAAAAAATCAACATTGTATTTGGTCCGGACCAAAGCAACTGAACTAGCGGACTTTCCTGGTGTGAATACACCCTTAAGTGTAACAGAAGTGAAATTTGGATCCATAACTAGTTTGCATCTTACACATCTCACATCTTAAAGTCCCCATGAAATCAAAATTATAGTTTTTTTGGGTGTTAGTATCAATATGTTAGTCTTAAGGTTGTCTATAAGGCAGTGTGCTCCAAAACAGTGACAACATTCGCATTTAGAAGATATAAGCATTCAAAGCTTGCAGTTCATCACTTCCGCCAAAACGGCTCAACGATTTTTTTTGACGTCACATCGTACTTCAGCTTCTCATCAAACTTTCTGTCCAATCAAATGCTCTCTAGAATCCGAAGTGCCCGCCCCCTACACTATATAGACGCTGAAGCCGTGGCTGAAATCGGTCACTTGTCCACAGAATTAGTATTTTCTGTACAGTGAATGGCACGTAGTGCACTATATAGGGGACAGGGAACGATTCAAACAGTGTAAATATGCTTTCCATTGAGGAAAAAAAGAAGTCTGGTTTGGCGCTGTGTCACGCTAACCACCGCACCGCACACACACTCTGCTCCGGTCCAGAGACACGATAGCACGGAGCGGATCACAAAATGTATCGGAGCTATTTGAATTCTACACAGAATGCTATGTTTTATAGCAATATGCATGAGATTGTGGCTGGCATACTCTGTCAAATGCGGCTTTACGGAGCTCAATGGCTCTGAACGGCTCTAGCCCAAGCTGTGATATAAACGAACGCTATTGGCTATTTTAAAAAGGGGCGGGGCTGCTTGATATGTCCCGCCCTGTCTTCCTGTTTCAGTTCAAATGACGTCAATACATAGAGAACCGCTGCGTGTTTCTAAGCATTTCAGGGGACCTTTAAATTAGTTTTTCTTTTGTAATGCGGCTCTACTGTGAACTATAAGGTGTACTGTTAGTTTAGCAGCTATATATGTCTAGCCTACTTTTTAGTTTATACAAGTACACTTTGAAGTATACTCTGAAGTACTAGATAAGTATTTTTTTTACACTGTAAATATACTTGTTTTCTTTAAGTAATCTTAACATTTTATGTACAGTTCATTATTTTGATAATGTTCCTATTTAGGTAAGTAGACTCATGTGTACAATACCAGTGGATTTGTACCTTTGATTTATGTACTACATAAAAAGACTTGCTCCTTTTTTGCCTTCATTTGACTAAATTCTTTGTGACTAAATTTAGTAGAAGTCAGTATGAATCAAGTGAGCATCAAAAGTTTAGCTCCACCTATGTACTAGTTACTCTAAGTTACTCTTTGTCACTACAAAGCTAACTTGTTACTAACCTATAAGGTTATAACATAGCATGTAAAATATATGCTAGAGTACAACCTCAAAGATGCCAATATGTGATAACATAGTATTTAATAGGGTACTCTATTAAAAGAGAAAACGCAACTACAAGCCAAGTATACTTAGAAAACTAAATTAAACATTTCTTAAGTATATCTTGATATATATATATAACATTTCCTAGAAATATAAAAAGAAAGCCATACTGTAGACTGGTTTGGATGGATATGAATGGATATTTCCATTTTTGGTCGAACTATTCTGTTTAGTAGTTTTTTAATTTGTTTTATGTTACATTTAAATTTATTTATATGGTAACCCTTTAATTTGACAACTTTCTTACCTGGTTGCCGCCCATTCCATGACAGTTGAAGAAGCCAACCTTTTCATTCTCTTTCCGGCCCATGTTATCCACACACTGATTTGTCTCAACATTTCTGATCTAATAACATAAAAGGACAAAGTCTGAGGATTTCATACAATGCAGTGTTCTTTTAATCAAGTACTGTGTGTAAGTCATCATTTATGACCCTGGACCACAAAACCAGTCATACGGGTCAATTTTTCGAAATTGAGATTTATATATCATCTGAAAGCTGAATAGATAAGCTTTCCACAGATGTAAGGATAAGACAATATTTGGCCGAGATACAACTATTTGAAAATCAAAATATTGAGAAAATCATGTATTTTCAATGCATATTACTAATCAAAAATTAAGTTTTGATACATTTATGGTAGGAAATTTACAAAATATCTTCATGGAACATGATCTTTACTTAAAAAGGGGTCATATGATGCTTTTTTAAAGATCATTATTTTGTATTTGGTGTAACAGAATATGCTTTAATGTTCAAAAAACACATTATTTTTCAAATACTGTACATTATTGTAGGTCCTCTATAACGCTTCGTTTTCTCCGAAGTCCCTCCTTCTGACAAGCGCAGTCTGCTCTGATTGGCCAGCTGACCCAATGCATTGTGATTGGCCGAACACCGCAAGCACTCGTCGGAAATGTAACGCCCCTTACCATAATCGCAAGCTTCATCTTTCAAAATAAATGTAAAGACAGTAAATAATGCCATTAGTTTTACCATCAGTTCAAGCCCGAGTATGGAACGATATTCCGGACAATTTTCAAATAGAATAGCAAATTGTATTTTCAATTGCGTTTTCAATATGTGAACGCATAAATTGTGACATAATCCAAATGCAATTGCAAATCCTGCATTACCGTATATCGCGAACGCTCAGTGACAGCCACATTTCAAATGAAAAAGCAAAGGTCACTTGTCCACAGAATTAGTATTTTCTGTACAGTGAATGGCACGTAGTGCACTATATAGGGGACAGGGAACGATTCAAACAGTGTAAATATGCTTTCCATTGAGGAAAAAAAGAAGTCTGGTTTGGCGCTGTGTCACGCTAACCACCGCACCGCACACACACTCTGCTCCGGTCCAGAGACACGATAGCACGGAGCGGATCACAAAATGTATCGGAGCTATTTGAATTCTACACAGAATGCTATGTTTTATAGCAATATGCATGAGATTGTGGCTGGCATACTCTGTCAAATGCGGCTTTACGGAGCTCAATGGCTCTGAACGGCTCTAGCCCAAGCTGTGATATAAACGAACGCTATTGGCTATTTTAAAAAGGGGCGGGGCTGCTTGATATGTCCCGCCCTGTCTTCCTGTTTCAGTTCAAATGACGTCAATACATAGAGAACCGCTGCGTGTTTCTAAGCATTTCAGGGGACCTTTAAATTAGTTTTTCTTTTGTAATGCGGCTCTACTGTGAACTATAAGGTGTACTGTTAGTTTAGCAGCTATATATGTCTAGCCTACTTTTTAGTTTATACAAGTACACTTTGAAGTATACTCTGAAGTACTAGATAAGTATTTTTTTTACACTGTAAATATACTTGTTTTCTTTAAGTAATCTTAACATTTTATGTACAGTTCATTATTTTGATAATGTTCCTATTTAGGTAAGTAGACTCATGTGTACAATACCAGTGGATTTGTACCTTTGATTTATGTACTACATAAAAAGACTTGCTCCTTTTTTGCCTTCATTTGACTAAATTCTTTGTGACTAAATTTAGTAGAAGTCAGTATGAATCAAGTGAGCATCAAAAGTTTAGCTCCACCTATGTACTAGTTACTCTAAGTTACTCTTTGTCACTACAAAGCTAACTTGTTACTAACCTATAAGGTTATAACATAGCATGTAAAATATATGCTAGAGTACAACCTCAAAGATGCCAATATGTGATAACATAGTATTTAATAGGGTACTCTATTAAAAGAGAAAACGCAACTACAAGCCAAGTATACTTAGAAAACTAAATTAAACATTTCTTAAGTATATCTTGATCAAAAAAATTAAGCACGAGTATAAGGCAAATATTCTTAGACTTTTCAGGACTGTACACTTGTTAGTATATACCAGGTGTACTTTAGTATATGCCGTAGTTTAACTATAACTATAGTATAACTATATAAAATATAGTGTAACTACTATATTCTATATTTTTCATTACATAAACAGTGAACTAAAATATACAGTCTTATTTCTGCTTTTAAAAAAGTGTACTAACAGCACACTTGAAGTATCTTCTTTTGTGTAAGGGAACCTATGTGTAATTTGATGTTTTTATTGCATTGACTAGTATTTTCTGTGTGATATGTACCTCTGCATCGTACTCAAACATCTGGTTTCCTTTCATGTGGTGGCACTTGAGCATAACAACAGGTCCATTAAGCCGCGATGCATCCAGACACAGGTCATCGGTTCGAATCTCTTTGTCAGCCGTGTATGAGAACACCTGCAAACAGATTCATCAGATGGGAATTAATTACTGTATGTTAATTTATAGGAAATTACTTACTTTATTTATATTTATATTTAATTAATTACATATATAATCAACATTTCAGCACTTGTGTTAGCCAATCTTTCAATTTAGCAACAAGGATTAAAAGGATTAGTTCAACCAAAAATTCAGCTATCAAGCTTAAAACAAAGATGCAAAAGCACCTTATCATAACTTAATAAGTATCAGTATAAGTATCATAACTTAAGTCGTTACGCACTAGACCACAAAACCAGTCATACGGGTCAATTTTTCGAAATTGAGATTTATATATCATCTGAAAGCTGAATAGATAAGCTTTCCACAGATGTAAGGATAAGACAATATTTGGCCGAGATACAACTATTTGAAAATCAAAATATTGAGAAAATCATGTATTTTCAATGCATATTACTAATCAAAAATTAAGTTTTGATACATTTATGGTAGGAAAGGAGAAAGCAGAATGAGAGCCGGCTCGCATTCCACAAGGTTGTAAATGTATCGGGTTACCATGAAACCAGGGTCTTGTTCGGCGTCCTGGGGTGTTACAAAGTATTTGTGAAATCTAGCTAACAAAATATATATTGTGTGTTGGAGTGTTCCAGACGCTACAATAGGGTTTCAAGCCCGAGTATGGAACGATATTCCGGACAATTTTCAAATAGAATAGCAAATTGTATTTTCAATTGCGTTTTCAATATGTGAACGCATAAATTGTGACATAATCCAAATGCAATTGCAAATCCTGCATTACCGTATATCGCGAACGCTCAGTGACAGCCACATTTCAAATGAAAAAGCAAAGTCCATTTGCAGCTGTATTTCCCATGTCTTAGGAGTTAAGAGCCTGCCATATTTAAATAGCAATATTAATTACCAGTCTGCTTTTTCACTCTCGCTGGGTCACGCATGTAACCTCCCAAAACTCAAATGGAATCGCAATTCCTTTTGCATTTGAATTTCCAATGTCTACATGGAAAGCAAACTCCATAACAGATTAAAACTGTTGAATAAAATATAAAGTAAGGTGGAAAATACGTTAATATTGCTATTTAAATATGGCAGGCTCTTAACTCCTAAGACATGGGAAATACAGCTGCAAATGGACTTTGCTTTTTCATTTGAAATGTGGCTGTCACTGAGCGTTCGCAAAAGCGAAAATGCAAACGGTAATGACAGTAAGAAAGTTATTTCCTTTAACCAGGAAATTAACGTTCTTAGAATTGACAAGACGGTTGACCCTGAGTGGTCAGCTAAATATCTACAGTGGATCTAAAATATTAATAATTAATCATAATTAGTTATGGTTAATTATTCATATTTCCCCATGAGCTGATTCGCTATAGACCTATACAATGTATTGTTGGCTATTGCTACAAATATACCCCAGCGACTTAAGACTGCTTTTGTGCTCCAGGGTCACATTTTTTACAATTGAACATTGTCCTTGGGTTTTATGAGAAAATATCTGGTGAAAAGCTTTAAATACAATTATTGCAGACTGCATTGAGGGAGCAGTAGAAATGCTCAACACAACAACAACAACAACATTGGCTAGGCAGGAAGTGAAAGTGTTTTACATTGCAGAGGTCTTGGCATAACCGCCGCACACATAAAGCCGCTGATTTAGTGTGCAAAATGACAAACTGAAGCAATTTATTAACAACTCTGATTCTTTTAATGGCCATGTCAAACAGAGAAACTCTCTTACCTCCCCAAGTGAGTAGTATCTGCGTGGAATCTGAGAGTCGGGGTAGATGTTTTCCAGATACCATGAGAAGGGTTTACACTTCAGTGATTCTCTCAAAGCCTTCCGCGAAGAAACATCAGCATAATCCACTCGAACCACCCCTGGAGAAACACACGCAATCAGCATCCATAACATTCATTACATACTGGCCTTTCAAATCAGTGAAATATAAATGCATGACCCTCTTTTGCAAGTCACTTAAAAGCGTCTGCTAAATGAATAGATTTAAATATACCCACCTACAAACATGACCCAGGGAAAACAATGAAGAGATAGAAGAGGACATATATAGAGATAATGAATTCACAGAAGCATCTGGAAGACCTTGATCCATATTCAACCCGAAGTAAACATGTTTAAGTCATATTTAAGCAATCTAGAGCTGTAAAAATGAGCCAGCACCAATTAGGAACATGTATGCAATAGATATAGATATGTTTATACAAATAACCGCATTAATACAGCATTGAAGTCTAATTATGGATGCAATGACACAAGGCTATAGAAAACAGAACACCAGAGCAGAAGAGATTCCAAGACGAATGGACAAGTACAGTATATATGCCTTTATTTTTCCACAAGTGTGTAAAACAATGTGTCATTTGCTATGAAGCAAATATAAAATGATTAAAAAAGTGATAAAGATATTGTGAATAGCTGTAAAATGTTAGAAATACTCAATTATATGTGTTTTCAAAGTAGGGTCTGTAAAACTAATTTCATTTCAAATATTTATTTTTAGTATTTATTTATTATAGTTGACAATGTCATTAATAATTTTATGTAATTTTAATATAAACTGAACAAAATTATAAACGCAACACTTTTGTTTTTGCCCCCATTTGTCATGAGCTGAACTCAAAGATCTAAAACTTTTTCTATGTACACAAAAGGCCTATTTCTCTCAAATATTGTTCACAAATCTGACTAAATCTGTGTTAGTGAGCACTTCTCCTTTGCCGAGATAATCCATCCACCTCACAGGTGTGGCATATCTAGATGCTGATTAGACAGCATGATTATTGCATAGGTGTGCCTTAGGCTGGCCACAATAAAAGGCCACTCTAAAATGTGCAGTTTTATCACACAGCACAATGCCACAGATGTCGCAAGTTTTGAGGGAGCGTGCAATTGGCATGCTGACTGCAGGAATGTCCACCAGAGCTGTTGCCCGTGAATTGAATGTTCATTTCTCTACCATAAGCCGTCTCTGTTGCAGCATGATAATGCATGGCCCCATGATGCAAGTATCTGTACACAATTCCTGGAAGCTGAAACATCCCAGTTCTTGCATGGCCAGCATACTCATCGGACATGTCACCCATTGAGCATGTTTGGGATGCTCTGGATCGGCGTATACGACAGTGTGTTCCAGTTCCTGCCATTATCCAGCAACTTCGCACAGCCATTGAAGAGGAGTGGACCAACATTCCACAGGCCACAATCAACAACCTGATCAACTCTATGCGAAGGACATGTGTTGCACTGCATGAGGCAAATTGTGGTCACACCAGATACTGACAGGTTTCCGGACCCCCCAATACAGTAAAACTGCACATTTTAGAGTGGCCTTTTATTGTGGCCAGCCTAAGGCACACCTATGCAATAATCATGCTGTCTAATCAGCATCTTGATATGCCACACCTGTGAGGTGGATGGATTATCTCGGCAAAGGAGAAGTGCTCACTAACACAGATTTAGACAGATTTGTGAACAATATTTGAGAGAAATAGGCTTTTTGTGTACATAGAAAAAGTTTTAGATCTTTGAGTTCAGCTCATGACAAATGGGGGCACAAACAAAAGTGTTGTGTTTATAATTTTGTTCAGTGTAGATTTAATATAGAATATAGATATTTAGGAATAGGTTTGCTGAATTAATGCTTTCAATTATGTTGAAAACTATATATTTTTTTGATTGATTGATTGATTGATTGATTGTGTGTGTGTGTGTGTGGCGGGGGGTTATCAAAGTCTTTGGGTTTGCGTGCCTTTCATTCAGGCAGAATTGAAGCAGATTAATGAGTTATAGAGATATAACAATATATAGAGGTCAGGCAGCAAAGTATGTGCATAATACAGGACTACTTGAAGCTACACAAAAATATATTTAGATATATTTACCATTTAAAACAAAATAATATGAACCTTCATATTTCCCTAATATTCCTCTTTAATATTAAGGGAGATTCAAAACAAGTGAGTGGATTTTCTATATTTATAACAACGTGGTGGTTTGTTTGTTTTTTTGGTGGGGGTTTGTGGGGGGGGGGGGGGGTCATGAACTGTTAATCCAAATATTCCCAAAGTTTTTTTTTGTTTGTTTTTTGAATGAAAAGACCAATTCTTAGACTAACATTATACACCTAAAATACAATGCAGTGGCATACACTCTTGAAAATAAAGGTGCTTCAAAAGGTTCTTCAAGCGATGCCATAGAATAACCATTTTTGGTTCCACAAAGAACCATTCAGGCAAAGGTTCTTTAAAGAACCATCTCTTTCTTACCTTTTTATAATCTGAAGAACCTTCTTTCGCCCCAAAGAACCTTTTGTGAAACAGAAAGGTTCTTCAGACGTTAAAGGTTCTTTATGGAACCATTTAGACAAAAAAGGTTCTTCTATGGCATCGTGAAGCACCTTTATTTTTAAGAGTGTATGTTCAATCATTGAAAAATTTCAACCGTCTCAATTCAAAAGCACCACATCTTTCACTACAGACACTAGAGGGAGCTTCAACATCACTTTTTATCACTTTTCTCAGTAAATGCTTAATTTATATAAATTCCACCCATCCAAACTGCTTATCCTCTTGAAGGTCGCAGGGATACCAGAGCCTATCCCAGCGTTACAGTAAAACTGTGCATGTATACATGTATATATTTAATCACATTCAAATACACCAGCAACCAAATTCTAATTCTGTTTTTCCATTTCATTTCACATTAAACAAACATGCACATTTTGGGATGATCTAGATGGGTGGTCTCTTCTATGTTCATGACTCTGCAGAGAGGGTATAATGCATCTGCACAACACACACACACACAGAGAGCTGCCTCGGCGAACAGAGCACACACTGACAGCTGAAGCGTCAGGCATTTGTGTCTTTCTGCTGAGTGTTGACTTTCTGCATTTCTTCCTCAATCTAACGTTTTCTCTCTTTATGTCTGCCTTGATATTTGCTGCTGTGTTTTGTGACCTCTTCTCTCTCTGTCTGTGGTGCAGATGATAAATGATCTTGTGTGTTTCAGTAGATGCCTTGGGGTAGAGCTGCTCTCAGATGTGATCACTAGCTGGGTCTAAGTTCTGTGCTATCTCTCCCCTCTGAGCTCAGTCCACATTTACAAGAATAGTTCATGCAAAATCATAAATGTAGTCCACGTTAAGTTAAAATTTAACAAACTAAAATGTATGTTATTCACAGAAAATCTTTGTTGTTGCTCTCAAATCTCATTAAAATTTCTGGCTTGTCACATTTGGTTTGAAACACACATGGACCAAACTTGTGCACCCTGCACATTTTGTAATGAGACTTGGGATTTATAGCAAAAAAACTGAGATTTTTCTGTGAATAATTACTTATATATTTCAATCTGTTCTTTACGCAAAGCTATCATATGGGTTCAGAAAACTTAATAATATTAATTTTGTCCATGACAAAAAATGTTTTGTCCAACATACACAAAGGCTACATTATCTGGATACATGGGTTAAAAATGTAGCTAAAATAAATGTCATGAATCTACAAATAATTTAGAAAGATGATCTTACTTTTACATCTAATTTTTCTATAGTGTTTAATTTGTCATCTCTGATTTTGGTCTGTGTTATATCTGGTTGAAGAAGTCTCTACTTGCCAGACTTCAGGCTTTCTTTTAAAAAATGTACCTATGCACGTTGAGTTCAGCCAAAAATGGATTCTGGTTAAATCATGTCGGGTACAGATCTTAGGACTAGAAGATTTTACACAATACATGTCTAGTGTGAATATCGTTTTAAACATCTGCTTGTGTAATCCAAGCACTGAATACAGGGTGTCTTAAACATTGTAAGTAAGTGCAGGTAAATGTTGACTGAACGTTCTTTGTGGGGTGGACTATTGCTTTAAATGTGTAAGATTTGACACTAAAATTCTCTTCAATTCAAATAACCTCAGTCTTTTTCTCCAGAACAGCCATTGCCATAGACTCTAGATGTACCAGACCGCACATCACACACACACACACACACTATATCTCTCACACACACACACACACACACACACACACACACGCACACACACACACACAAACTTCAGTCCGCAGACCACAACACAGCACCACTGGGATGCCTTTCCAGGAACAATCCCCCTCCCGTGCTCCACAGTTCCTCCTGAATCTTTCCCTCTCAAGCGAACTGACAAGAGGTTTCAGAAAAGGCTAATCTCATTATTGTCCTTGTACAGGATACTGAGGCTTTCTAACCCCACTATAGCACTACATTTCCCAGGTCTCCCTAGGGGCGAGATGCAGATAAAAAAGCAGAACGTTCATGAATACGTGAGCAGCAGAGCAGAACTCAGACACTTAGCGCAATGCCAGGCATGAATAAAAGATGGACAATCTCTCATCAGGGTGAAATATCTGTCCCGCTGATCTGCGCTATAGCAGAACCACTTGCGGACTGTCACGAAAACATCCATATCAGCAAATATGAGCAAGACAGATGGATTTAAAAATGTTTTAGGGGTATGTGGCACTGTAGTGGCTGTTAAAGTTGAACGGGGATGAAATATTGATGGTTCATGGTAGGAATAAGAGGAAAACTGTCTTTTGTAGAAGAACATTCACTGGAAAGGTTGTGGAACAGAATTTGTAAAGGAATTGTAACACAATGTGTCTAACCAGTGTGCAAAAATTTACATTGTGCCACAGCTGACAAAGGAGAGAAAATTAAGACAATTTACCATCCAAAACTATTTCTTAACGGACAAGCAGACACGACATTGTTTTTGTTTTGTTTTCCATATGTGACCCTGGACCCCAAAACCAGTCTTAAGTGACAATTTTTCTAAATTGAGATTTATACATCATCTGAAAGCTGAATAAATAAGCTTTCCATTGATGTATGGTTTGCTACAATAGGACATATTTGGCCGAGATACAACTATTTGAAAATCTGGAATCTGAGGGTGCAAAAAAAAAATCAAAATATTGAGAAAATTGCCTTTAAAGTTGTCCAAATGAAGTCCTTAGCAATGCATATATTACTAATCCAAAATTAAGTTTTGATATATTTACGGTAGGAAATTTACAAAATATCTTCATGGAACATGATCTTTATTTAATATCCTAATTATTTTTGGCATAAAAGAAAAATGGATAATTTTGATCCATACAATGTATTGTTGGCTATTGCTACAAATATACCCCAGCGACTTAACACTGCTTTTGTGCTCCAGGGTCACATATCATTATTCACAAATGTGAATAAAACTTCCACACTTCTGTCTTTTATTTAAATAGCTTGCAAGGATCATCATTCTTTCAATTTCACTTTAAAATTATGTTTTTACTTTTAACTTTGATCTTAACTATGTTTTATTTACTTATTAAATCTTGCTTGGAAAATGTTAATTATACCATATCTCACGCTGACACTAATGAAGACGTGTGAGAACACGGTTACCCTTTAACGGGCCATATTCTGAATTCACTAGTTCACTAGCATTAAAGAATTGGCTTGGTAGAAGTGCGGTGTCATCTCAATTTCACTTTTACCCTATATTTTACATTTAGTTAAAAAGATATGCTTGAAAGTAGTCAAAACAACCAAAAGTAAAACTACAAAGATTATGTGATGGTCCATCTCAGTAAGTGAAGTGTCATTTATCGATTTCCTGAAGAGTATCACCTGGTGAGATGATGTAGAAGAAATCTTTGAACTCATCCATCCAGACTTCAGCCAATCGTCTGTTGTTCTTGTTGATCACCTGACCAGTTCCACCAGGGAAGCTGTATGGCGTGGCCTTCCTGAACACATGGCCTACATGAGAACATGTGACTATCTCCAGAGATCCTCCACACTGCCAGATCTATTCACACACATGCAAAAGAAATACAATTAGAATCATCAAGGATCTTTAAAACTTGGCCACATATGATTACAAAATAAAAATTCCAGTATGTATTTATGAATATAATATTGCAGAGCATCATCGTTATGTAAGACATTTATGACCCCTGCTATTTTTAAATGTTTTAAACTACCGAAAAATGGAGTTCTCACCCTAAAAGACATCTCAAGGTTTTCCCCTCCCCATATGTCCATGCCTGAATCATAGGTGCCAATCTCTTCAAAATAAGTTCTGTCAATAGAGAACAGACCTCCTGCCATTGTGGGAGTTCTGTGGAAAAGATTCAAACAAAACCTCAGAATTAATCAGTCTGACGGGGTGTATATACTGTAGGCTATATATATATATATATATATATATATATATATATACCCACCATCAATAGCTAGGTTAAGTGATGTGAACCACTGTAGTCTGTGTAAGAGAATCCTCTGATCAATAACCTTCTTTATAGGGGTGTAATGATACATTGATAAGGATCAATAAATATCAATCAAATGACTACCAATATGATGTATAGATGCAATGTTATTATATTTCTGTATAATATGTATAATATTTCTGTATAAATGTATGCATTTTCTGTATTTTTTTTTTATTGCATACCTCATTTTGTTGTTTATGTCCTAATGTGGATACTAGATGTACACATTTTAGAGAGTCTAGAAAAATGACAGACTTTCTTCACAACGGTCATTGCTTGTCCCACTGAACAAGCCAATGATGAGCTGTCATCAAACGACTGCTGATCTCATGCGTGACTACAGGTTTTGTTGTTGTTATTTTGGTTACATTTGTGAGTTGTGACCAAAGTATAATTCTGTAAAAACAACATACAGGTTGATTGCAGGTCTCTAAATAAAAAAATAAAATAAAAATCGTAATCATATCACAGTATGTTTAGACGTCCAAATTACAAGCCTTTTGTTTATTACACTGACAACTCTTGATTTTTGCACATCATGTTTGGAAGTAAAATTAGTTCAATTTAGAACATTCCTTTATAAAAATCCTCAGGATAATAAAAGAACTGGTTTAAAGCGTTGACGAAATCAGATGTTAGATTCACATCTTACTTAATGATAATGTACCTGGCAGTGACAACAACTAAACCATTGTGGCACCTAAATAACATGCTGTCTGCTCAATTAACCAAGAAAAAACAAACGTTATGTGAAGGTTTTGATTTATTTGGAACGAAGGCTCTGTGTCTTTACCATTGTAACGAATGGTGCGTTTGAAAGAAACAATATAGCACAGATGATTTCATGGCTCAGTCTCACAGCCATTTGTGAGTAATTAACAGAATAATGTACTTACATCATTCACGTCAAAACTGAAAATAAAACACTTGAACGTTTATTACCTAACAGGAAGGGTTCTGTCGCCCTTGCGTCGGTCCATCTCTCTCTGAGGAACTGGATACCATCTGAAGTTGAGCTTCCAGTTGAATCCCCCATAGGTCATATCTGAGCCGGCCATGTACTCGAATGTCTCATCACTGATGACATCAATGATTGGACAGACCACAGCCCTCCTAGAATGACGAACAGAAATAATCCTTTCACCTTCAGTCCAGTGTTGCAGAGGAAATTAGGGTATTTTGACAAGAATTGCATCTATTTTTTAACATATCAAATTATAGGCTCATACAAATGATAATACAAAAATAGCACGAGAAAGCTATGGAGAGGGAAAAAAATAATAGTTAAAAACTTCCCTCTCTGCCAAATAAAATAACTGTTTTTTAGTTTACTTTACTTTAAGATTAATACGTTTTTAAACATTTCCATGTTCATACCTTTTCATTAACAAACATATACCTATTGTCACGAATCCTGTCCACGAACTTCCATCCACTTGCCACCAGAGGTCGCCCTCCCATGATATTGAATCTCACACCACACAGACTGTTACACATCACCCTGGACTACATTTCCCATGCTCCATTGCACTAATCACAAGCTCACCTGAAACTTATCACACACAGCTGCTACCCATTACACCCACTATAAGAATCCGTCTCAAACAACCATTCACTGCAGAGTATTGTAAGCGCATATCGCTACGCTAGTCGATAGCTACTTTACAGAGCCAGTTCCCGGTCCTAGTTGGAGTTTCTAGTTGTCCAAATCTAGTCACGTCTAGTTTCCTGATTGCCTGTTTCCTGATTTTCGCTTGATTATCCTTCTCGTCTCGCCCTGTTTAAATACTGTTTGCTCCTCACCTGGACCATAGCCTGTGTTTCGGATTAACCCTTTGGATTACCCTGTTTGGACTGTTCGCCGGAGATCGACCACGCCCGCTCGCTGGACTACTCTTGTGTCTTGCCCTCAATATACCTGTTTGCCATTGTCTGAC